AAACCCTGCCTTAGTCCTGTCCTTAGCCTAGTGATTAGCCAGAGATTGAAGTTATGCTCCCCTCAGTTCTCTTCTAAGCATGCATTCTGCCCTGAGCATTCAGTGGCTTTCTAGTTCCCTGGTATACTTGAGCGCTTTTTCCAAGACTTTATCCCCCAAAGATTCTCATTCCCTACCTTTTCTTCTCTTGGCTTTCCGCATATCTGTTGTTTGTCTCAACTGTTCTTTTGCCCTACATAGCAGCGACTTGTTACTTTGCCTTTTAGTATTTTTGAAAAATATCCCCTGTGTAGCTATGTCTTCATGTTGTCTGGGGTAATACTCAAGGTTCATTGTCCCACAGCCACCAAAAACCGGGATGTGAACATACCAGGGTGAGGTTAAGAGTGGACATTTAATAGGTGAAAGAAGGAGAAGAACTGTCTACACAGAGAGGGGTCCTGGAGAAAATGGGTTGCTATCGGGAGAACTCACTCCTGATGTTTAACGTGGGTTCTTTTCTATTTCCTAAGTGTCTCGGCTGGGTTGAGAAATAAAGGGAAAGAGCACAAGAGAGAGAAATTTAAAGCTGGGTGTCCGGGGAGACATCACATGTTGGCAGGAGCCGTGATGTTCCCCGAGCCATAAAACCAGCAAGTTTTTATTAGTGATTTTCAAAAGGCAAGGGAGTGCACAAATAGGGTGTGAGTCACAGAGATCACATACTTCACGAGGTAATAAAATATCACAAAGCAAATGGAGGCAGGGCGAGATCACAGGACCACCAGATGAGGTAAAATTAAAATTGCTAATGAAGTTTCAGGCACGCATTGTCATAGATAACATCTTACAAGGAAACAGGGTTTGAGAGCAGGTAACCTGTCTGACCATAATTTATTAGGTGGGAATTTACTCATCCTAGTAAGTCTGGGAGCACTATAGGAGACCGGGGCTTATTTCATCACTTCGCCTTCGACTGTAAAAGACAACGCCTTAAAAAGAGGTTGTCTGTAAGCCTACCTTCAGGGCACATTCTCTTTCTCAGGGATGTTCCTTGCTGAGAAATAATTCAGTGATATTTCTCCTATTTGCTTATGAAAGAGGAGGAATATAGCTCTGTTCCGTCCGGCTCACCAGCGGCCAGTTCAAAGTTACCTCTCTTGTTCCCTGAACATCGCTGTTATCCTCTTCTTTTTTTTAAGATGCCCAGACTTCATATTCAAACACACATGCTCTACAATTTGTGCAGTTGACACAATCACAGGGTCCTGAGGCGACATTCATCCTCCTCAGCTTACAAAGATGACGAGATTAAGAGATTAAAGTAAAGACAGTTATAGGAAATCACAAGGATATTCATTGAGGAAGTGATAAGTGTCCGTGAAATCTTCACAATTTATTTTCAGAGATTACAGTAATGACAGGTGTAAGAAATTATAAAAGTATTAATTTGGGGAACTAATAAATGTCCATGAAATCTTCACAATTTATGTCATTCTGCTACAGCTTCAGTCGGTCCCTCCGTTCGGGGTCCCTGACTTCCTGCAACAGGTTGCCACTTCCGCAGTCAAATGCAGGTTTTACAGATGAGCTTGAGGAGGCAGTGTCTGATTTACATAGGGCATGAAAAATTGGTGGGACCAGGTGTGCCACTTGCATAGGATGTGAAGAAGCTGGCCGCCCCACCCTAATCTTTTATTATGCAGATGGATTCTCTACCGGGCCAGATCCATGTTGCCTGCTTTTTTACTGTACACGTGGTGACAAAGAAAAGGGAAGATGGAGACCGGGCACAGTGGCTCACGCCTGTAATCCCAACACTTTGGGAGGCCAAAGTGGGCAGATCGCCTGAGGTTGGGAGTTCGAGACCTGCCTGGCCAATATGGTGAAACCCTGTCTCTACTAAAAATACACAGAAAAATTAGCCAGGCATCATGGTGCACGCCTGTAATCCCAGCTGCTTGGGAGGCTGAGGCAGGAGAATCACTTGAACTAAGGAAGCAGAGGTTTTGGTGAGCGGAGATCGCACCACTGCACTCCAGCCTGAGCGACAGAGTGAGACTTTGTCTCAAAAAAAAAAAAAAAAAAAAAGGGCAAGATGGAGCCTGTATGTTTAACATACCTGGCTTCCAGGGCTAGTAATTCCGCTAGTCATTCAACAGGATAAGTTTCCAGGGCTACCTGGAAGCCAGGTATGTTACAGTAAAAAAGCAGGCAACATGGAGCTGGCCCGGTAGAGAATCCATCTGCATAATGAAAGATTAGGATGGGGCGGCCAGCTTCTTCACATCCTATGCAAGTGGCACACCTGGTCTGACCAATTTTTCATGTCCTATGTAAATCAGACACTGCCTCCTTTTCTATTGCACAGCCTTTACTTGTGCAGGCTTCCAGCTTGCTTATCTATGTTTGCGGCTCTATTTTTCAGGCTGCTCTTTGTTAGAAAAGAAATGATTTGGGGGCTGCTTTTTATTAAAAGGGAAGCCTTGCTTGAGGGCTCCTTAACCCTCACTATCTACCTAAATAATTTCTTTCTAGCTCCTGTATCAATTGCAACAAAGTTCTGACTTAGCTGAAATGCACTCAGACCCTTGAATCAAAACAGTTCCTTGGGAATGAGGTCTCTTTTACTTGGGAGCCAAGTCAAGACAAACAATTCCTTGGGAATGGGATCCCTTTGACTGTTGTCAGGATTAGGTTCTCAGGCTAGTAAAGTAGCATGCTATCTTTAAGACTGCTACTGTGGCCAGGTAGGGAGTGTGGCAAGGGTATTTTAAAATACTACAAAGTGCTCTTACCCTTTTTCAGTTGCCCTTTTCCTGATTGTTTTCTTAGTTGTAAGCTTTTTACTCCCTTCCCACATTCCAGTAAAAGTGGTTCTGACAGCTATGCAATAGTTTTCAGTGTTTCTGAGACAGGATGACCCCTAGCACTTCCTATTTTGCCATTTTTTGTTGTTGTTGTTCTTATTGATGCATTTCTAAGTCAAAAGCACACCCCAGCCCACTTTAGTCTGTAGTTCAATATCCTGTTGTGGTCTGCCCCACTCATGTACTATCCCAAGGCCAATGTGAATTCTGGAAATTATTCTACACTATAATTCAGTTCTCAGTATTTTTTTCTATGTAGATTCTGGTTCATTCTATGTATGGGTTATTTAGGACTTCATAAACAGATGTAAAAGATTCTTGTCTGAAGGCTGCTCTTCTCTGATTCTCCCTTATCTCTTCTTGGGATGACTTACGTGCAGGGTGTGGAAAGTTAACACAGCACCCCACTGTGTGTGCAGCTGCCATGTTGGTCGAGAACAGAAATGACATCCTTTCTTTGCTTATGTTTGCTTGGTGTTAGGTGGGCGTTGCTGACAAAGCTTCCTCTCTCAGTCTTTCTGGTAGCAGTACCCGTTTGGGAGGTGAGGACTCTGCTTTGCCTGCTTTTCTTATTGTTGGCAGTGACAGTCGACAGGCTTCACACCTCAGCCTCTGTGGCTAAAGTGCCTGATTAGGAGTGAAAGGGGCACAGCTCCTCTTTGGCATTAGGGTTCCCTTCTGCCAGGCCTGTTTCTTTTCATCTTGCACGATCTCCATTGGCTAGAGGGAATGGTCTTTCCCGAGGCTTTTGGGGTGGTTGTTGTTGTTAATGTACCCTTTGGTAATTCCGGGTTGCAGTTTGCTCCTGTGTACAGACTGGGATAGACAGAAGGCAAAAATAAATCCTAAGGAATTCATTTCCAGGTCCTCCCTTGATTCTTGAAGACTCTACCTGACCTGCTTTCTTCTTTCCACATTTCAGAGTTTCTGATGTTTGCTTTATGTGCTGTGTCCATGGTTTTAAATTATAGGTAATGGAAGCATTGGGGTAGAATATGCTTACTCTATCATGACTGGTACAGGAACTCAGCTCCCGCAATCATTTATCAAATGAATGATTAAATGATACGTGGTTCTTGCCTTCAAGTTACTTGTGGTGTATGTGGCTTACATTATTAATATAGATGTACTATTAAGAGAATTAAGACTCATTCCTGTGAGAGTTCTCATAGGCAAAGGAATGAGATTATTTCTAGCTGTGAGGGAATAGGATATGTGGTGTGGTGGTGTGGTGATTGTTCTGACAAGGGTTCTCTGTCACCAGCTGGACGTCCTGCAGCTCAGTTCGGTTCTCACACTAACAGACCCTCCAGGTTACAGGCAGAGGTCTTCAAGAGTGTCTCCACTTCACACTCCAGCTGCAAGTGTCAGGGTCCACCTGCAGTCAGGACCAACTGGCCATAAATTCTGGAGTTCCCACAAATCTCTCAGGTTTAATAACTTACTAGAACCACTCACAGAACTTAATGAAAACACTATACTTATAATTAGCATTTTATTATGAAGGATACAACCCAGACACAGCCAAATGAAAGTAATGCGTAGATGAAGGTCTGGGGGTTGGAGAGACAGAGATTCCTTGTGGAATCCAGGCACATTATCCTCCCAGCACATCAGTGTATTCACCAACCAGGAAGCTCTGCCATGCTCCTGGTTAGCCCTCAAATGATGTGTTTGGTGATGTGTTCGATGTGTTTTCCTGGTGAAGCGCCTCCAGTCTGCAATATGTAGGAACCACTATGAGACAGCTCATTAGCATAACAAAGACACATCTATCACTCAGGAAGTTCCAAAGGTTTTAAAGCACTATGCCAGAAACTGGCACTTACATACTGTCTATTCTTCATTATTCTTTATTATACTATAGTCATCAAATAAAATTTCAGAGAATGTGGCATTTGAGTGATTTGAATAGTAGGTAGACTTAAACATTTGAAAATGGGGAAAGGGGTGTTCTAGGCTGAGAAAGTAGCATTAGCAGTCACACCAGAGGAACACACACACACAAGTGCAGGAATTGATATGTAGAACTACATCAAGTAGTTTTTGGTTTTAGTGTAGGATACATGAAAAGGAAAAATAAGAAATAAAGCTAGATTGGGTCTATCATTTAATGATATTTATTAATCAGAGAATCATTTATTCCTACAGAGCAGAAGACAGAAAAGATCTGTTCATGTTTTTTCGAAGCCTGCATTTTTTTGTGGAGTGGTTTGAATATCGTAAGCGCACGTTTAAACATTTCAAGGTAAAGTCTGAACTTTTTGAATTTAAACATATATGGAAAACAAAGCTGATATTAGTTGGGGATTCATCCATACATCCTTTTCTTAAAAGCTTTCAAACAGTAGAAAATATTCTCATTGACTTTTGGAATTTGCGATTATTTGGCATAACTGGAGGAGGATTACTTCTGTACAAATTGGCACACAGTTTATATTGTGGAATGTCTTGAAAGAAGTGTGGTTATATTCAAATTTATTTAAAATGCACATTTTGAAAAACCATTCTTTCAAGAGTACTTGAAGGAAAACAACAAATGTTAATAAAGAATGTCATCACAGCAGGCTTATCATGTAGTGGTATACTGCTAACTTCCTGAGCCAGACTCTGTGTTTTCAGCTTCTCAATTGTACATTTCGAGTTTAAATACCAAAGCCTGATTCTTGTGAAGTAATGCTTCCTAAAGCCTGATATGGGTACCCTAAAGTACTTCTTTTTATTCCCTTTCTTTGTTTTCGGGCATAACTGAAATTAAGTTTGGTTGCATTGTAATACCTCGGGTTCTACTCATTTGGATAGCATCAAATTATTGACAGCATTAATCCACACAGAAACCAGTTCCGAAAGTCAACTTAAATAATATTTCAAGGTTCAGATTCCCTCAAAAGCCTAACCAGGTCATGACTATTGTTTTTAGGAATTGTACTAACTCTCCTTTATTTGGGATTCTATTGTTTTTTATTATTATTTATTCTGTTTGGTTGAGCTGATAAAATCTGTCAGGCCTAGGATTTTTTTCCACAAAGAAACATGGGCAGTTCTGTACTACAGTACCTTGAGGTGTTCTCATGATTTTGTTATATTTTATCATATGTAGTCTTGTGCCAGAAAAATTAAATATTTCTGCTTCGCAAGTGGTACAATACAGTAATGACGAGGGAGTGTGCTGGCTGTTACGGTAATAAATGAATCACCTAATGTTGCTGTTTCCTTATGCATTTGAATGGGTGATGGAAAATGGGAGCACTAGTCTCCATTTCCAAAGCTGATTTGACTCTATGTGCTTTCCAGGCAGGTATGGAGGTATAATTGGTGTATTTTTCCTATAGAGGGTAGAGACCTTCTAGGAGCTGGTCTTCGCTAGTTTTAACATTACTAGGGTGGAAAAAACCAATCACATTGTTCTGTAACCATCACCAATATCCACAATGTTTTGTAACCATCACCACTATCCTTCTCCAGAAGTTTTTCATCATCCCAAACTGAAACATACCCATTAAACATTAGCTCCTCATTCCTGCCTTCTCTTAGCGCTTGCTACCACTGTTCTGTTTTTTGTTTCTATGAATTTTAGTATTCTAGGTACCTCATATATGTGGATTGACCTTTCACTTAGCATAATGTCCTCAAAGTTTCTCTATGTCATAGCAAGTGTCAGATTTCTTTTTTTTTTTTTTTTTTTTTTTTGAGACAGGGTCTCACTATGTCACCCAGGCTGTAGTCCGGTGTTGCAATCACAGCTCATGGCAGTTTTGACTGTCCCTGGCTCAGGTGATCCTCCCACCTCAGCCTCCCAGGTAGCTGGGACTCCAGGCGCCTGCCACCATGTCAGCTAATTTATGTATTTTTTGTAGAGATGCAGTTTCGCCATGTTGCCCAGGCTGGTCTCGAACTACTGGGCTCAAGCAATTCACCTATCTTGGCCTCCCAAGCCCAGTGCCCTCCCCCTGCCTTTTTTTTTTTTATTAAGGCTGGATCATATTCCATTAAATGTATATACATTTTGTTTATCCATTCATTTGCTGATGGGCACTGGTTGTTTTTACTTTTTGGCTATTGTGAATAATCCAGCCGTGAACATTAGTGTACTAATATCTGTTTGCGCCCCTTTCAATTCTTTTAAGTGTAATTATATACCTGGAAATAGAATTGCTGGATCATAAGGTAATTCTATGTTTAATTATTTGAAGAACCGCATACTCTTTTCCACAGTGCTTGTACCATTTTACACCAGCAAAGCACAAGTACTTCATTTCTCTACAACTACTTTAATAACTGTTATTTTCTGCTTTTTTTATTTTTTTTTGCCTATAGCCAACCTAATGGGTAGGAAGTGATAGCTCATTGTGGTTTTGATTTACATCTTCCTAATGGTTAGTGATGTTAAATATATTTTTATGTGCTGGTTGGCCGTTTGTATATCTTTGAGGAAATGTCTCTGCAAGTCCTTGGCCCATTTTTGAATTGGGTTGTTTTTTGTTGTTGAATTGTAGAGTTATTTATATATTCTAGATATTAATTTCTTCTTAAATATATGATTTCAGAATACTTTCTCTGGGTTGTCTTTTGACTCTTGATAGTGCCCTTTGATGAAGAGAAATTTTTAATTTTTAAAATTTATTTTTAATTGACTAATAGTAATTTTACATATTCATAGGGTACATAGTGATGTTTCAATATGTATAATGTAGAGTGATCAGATCAGGTTAATTAGCATTTCCATCAGTTTAAACATTTACCCTTTCTTTGTGTTGGGAACCATCAGTATCTTCTAGCTATTTGAAACTATACCTTATTGTTAACTGTAGTCATCTTACAATGGTATAGAACTTATTCCTCCTACCTAACTGTAATTTTGTATCCTTTAACAAATCTCTCCCAAAAGTTTTCAATTTCGATGGAGACCATTTTATCTATTCTTTCTTTTTTACCTGTGTTTTTGGTGACAAATCCAAGTAATTTCATGCCAAATTCAATCTCATAAAGGTTTTCCTCTATATTTTCCTCTAAGAATTTTATAATTTAGCCCTTAAGTTTAGGTCTTTTAGTTCGTTTTTTAATATTACATAAGGTAGGTGTCCAACATCATTCTTTTGTATATGGATATCCAGTTTTCCCAGCACCATTGTTGAAAAGACTGGCGTTCTCCACTGAATGGTCTTTGTACTTATGTTGAAAAGTATCTGACCCTATTTGGAAGGGTTTATTTCTGGGCTATTTAATTTATTCTATTGGTCTGTATGTCTGTACTTATGCTAGTACCACACTGTTTTCTTTTTTTTTTTTTTAGACAGAGTCTTGCTCTGTTGCCCAGGCTGGAGTGCAGTGGTGCGATCTCAGCTCGCTGCAACCTCTGCCTCCTGGTCAAGTGATTCTCCTGCCTCAGCCTCCCAGTAGCTGGGATTACAGGCACCCGCCACCACACCTGGCTAATTTTTTGGAATTTTTAGTAGAGACAGAGCTTAACCATGTTGGCCAGGCTGGTCTCGAACTCCTGACCTCAAGTGATTGGCCCACTTCAGCCTCACAAAGTGCTGGGATTACAGGTGTGAGCCACTGCGCTCAGCCACACACTGTTTTCATTACTGTATCTCTGTTGTAAATGTTGAAGTTAGGAAATATGAGTCTTCTATCTTTATTCTTCTTTTCAAGATGGGAGTCTCTTGAGGTTCCATATGAATTTTTTTTTTTTTTTTTTTTTTTGAGACGGAGTCTCGCTCTGTCGCCCAGGCTGGAGTTCAGTGGCCAGATCTCAGCTCACTGCAAGCTCCGCCTCCCGGGTTCCCGCCATTCTCCTGCCTCAGCCTCCCGAGTAGCTGGGACCACAGGCGCCGCCACCTCGCCCGGCTAATTTTTTGTGTTTTTAGTAGAGACGGGGTTTCGCCGTGTTAGCCAGGATGGTCTCGATCTCCTGACCTTGTGATCCGCCCGTCTCGGCCTCCCAAAGTGCTGGGATTACAGGCTTGAGCCACCGCGCCCGGCCCCATATGAATTTTAAGGTGAATTCTTTTTTATTTGTGTGAAAGCATCATTGAGATTTTGATGGCAACTGTGTTCAGTCTGCATATCATATCGGATAGTATTGTTGTATTAACAACATTAAATCTTCCCATCCATAAACACAAGATACCTTTCCATTTATGTATGTCTTTAGTTTTTTTCAGCAATGTAAGAAGTAAATTATTTTAAAATTTAAAGTCTCTTTAATTATTAGTGTCAAGAATGAAACATTATGAATATAATGGAGACAGCATATTTTTACTTTCTGTAATGATTTCCTCTGATATCTTCTGGATCTTGGTGGTATAATTTGTATTGTTTATTTTGTTTTATTTGTGATTTAAGGTTGTGTATATGAAGGTGTAAGGTATGCATGTTCATATCCTCTTATCTAGAAATCCCCAAATTATTTCTTTAATTCTAGAATTCATACCTTTTACCAATGCTCTTTCTCACTTATCATCATCTTATCTAAAACTACTGACTTTTGAATTTTTTCTTAATCTGAGAGTTATTTTATGGTGTTTTGTTCCATAAGTTTTATCATAAAAATAATATAAGAATACATTATTTTTCTGAAAACTAGAAAGATGACATTCAATATTATGACAGTTTAAAGATTCAATTTTTCCAAATAAAACAGAACCCTTCTATTTAGATGGATTTTATTTTGCAATATTTATTGTATATTCAATTCAAATGTGCTCACTATCGGGCTAGGCAATTGAAAGTATAAAGTATGAAGCTGCATTTTGCGCTCTCAGTGAGGTTTAAGTCACAGGGAAATGAGGCATGCACACAAAATAATGAGAAAGTAGTATAATAGTTATGATCATTAGTTATCAAAATAAGTGAACAAGCTAATAATCATTGTTAGAATAATAATTGTAGTCTTAGATCTCAGATGCTTTAATGAAAAATGTTATCTTCAGGTGAACTGACAAATGGGGAGATAATAGAAAAACATCTGACATTCTAGGTAGGGAAAAAAACCAGAAGCAAATGCTTAAAAATAGGAATAAGTATGTATTCTGGGAATAGCACACAGAGACAACTTGATTTCAATACTTACTTTATGATGGAAATAATGTTTGTACTTTTATTTACACAGTCCAGACTCATATTTCTAAAACACTGATAATTTTGCGTTTAACTTCAGTGCAATGTGTAGACTAATACTTTTAGTGGGGAACAAGCGAGAGGAATGTTATTTTAGAAACTTTACTCTGGCAGCACTGAGTCATCATAAACTATTACTCTCCGATAGAATACTTGACTCTTGCAGTTAGTCATATCAGTTTATCTGACCTAGGTTTATCATGAGTAATCAGTTTATCATGAGTAATCAGAAAGTTACTCAGAAGCTTTATTGTGAATATTCACTTTGTTACAGTGAACGTGGATGTGTATGGGTGGGAAGGTAGTGTGCACTAGCACCACAGAATGTTCTGTTTTCATCTTATGTTTGAACTAATTTATTGATGAGATTCTCATTTCTATAGTATAAAAGGAAAATATTTTGCAGTTATCTCATATTTGAAAGACTTTGCCATAGAGAACTTTATGGTTACCCTCTCGGAAATGGATGAACTTTTCATTATTTCTTATAAGCATATTGGTTTTGGCCTGCTTGACTTTAAAACTTTTTTTTTGGTAGACTTAGAATGTTAATATTTAGATAGAGAAAATATTTTACTGAAGACATTAACTGTGTGACCAGAAAGTAAAATAACTTGAACATTTCTGTATTAGCTTTTTATCAGAGAATAACGTTTATTTTATTTGGAAAGTTTTCCTAAATATGAGACTATCCCCTATTTCTCAGACTAAGTGAAAATTTAATAAAATAGCTGCCTTGATAGGAGGAAAACAGAGTTCTTACTTTATAAGGAATAATGTATGAATCATAAAAGAAGAATGAGTGATCATGGGAAACATTTAGCTTTTCAGAGTTTCTGGAACACGTACCTTAAATGCTTTTGGGATCCAGTAAAGGCCAGGAAAGGCAAAGAGTTGAAAGTTTCTTGGATTTATCCTCTTACTTACATCATTAGTAATAGGAATAATGCATCTCAAATTTGGGCATTTATATAAAAACATGATTTTTAAATGGTAGTCTAGTATAAACTAGGATTTTGTAATGCTGTTTAAATATTTTCATATTACTTTGTTTTGAACATAGACATTCAGTCTTACTTTTTACTTATATGTAAGAGTTTTAACATCCTTGCTTAAAATATCAAATTCCTTCTAAATGGGATACAAAGTTAATATTAAACCAATACTTAAGTTCCTTTACACATTGTTGAGACAGACTATAAATGTATGTGTACTTTAGTTTATATGTTGTACTGATAGAGGTTAAAAGTATGACCCTATTGGTAATCTTTTTAAGCAAATGAAACTGTTTGGATGCTTTCCCAGGACAACTGGATTGCCCTCCAGGCGTATCTCTTCAATGCGGTCCCGGATGTAACTGGTGTCATTAGCCTTGCAGAATGTGTCATCTGTAATTGAAGCTATGTTGTTAAACTGAAAAAAAAAGAGGAAAAAATTATTCAGAAATCTGAAATCAACCTTTCATATGCTATATAATGGGTAAAGGAAACCTAAGTGAGAGGTGTGAGTGCCCCCTCACTTCAAATCCTTGTGTCAGATTAATTAGGAAATACTCAAATGTACACCTGGAGACAAATACAATCAAGAGCAGACTTCACACCTACTGTGCGGGTCTACTTGTTATGCTCTGGATGGAATCTGGACTTCTGGGAAGAAATTTCATGAGCCTAGTCTTTTTGATAGGCAGGCATTCAGCTATCACACTACTACAGTGATCTAACCAAACTTTGTATGTGAATAAGTGAGGTTCCCAATGAGTCACAGGATTTTGACTCATAGGTAATTAGAGTCAGATATTGTGAAAGGAACCATCATACCTGAAGGTGAATTACACGTAGACTTTCTGGTAAATTAAGAGGCACGGATTCCAGGGCATTATGGTCCAAGTAGAGGAAAGTGAGGTTATTCAGTTTCTATAAGGAAAATTTCATGTGAGTGTTATTGAGGTTCTGTACATTCTTTCACAGGATTCAAGCAATATGTATGTGCATATGAGTATGTGATTATATATACAGACTTGCATATTGATATAAATACATCAGTTGTATCAATTGTTCATATGGTAGTTTCTTGTTTGGGTTTTTTTCTGGCTTCACGTGTAGTGTATTTTGATCCTTTATGATGGCCAGTGGAGCTCTGCCACATACCCCACCTTTCTGTCCATTCATCTGATCTCTGAATATCCAGCTCTAATGCCAACTTTTGGTACTCTTTGGGTTTGTCTTGATAGGAGCTAATGAGGTGAGTCCCTACGTGGGATTGAATTTTGACCCTGGTGCTGCCGTACCCTCTCCTGTACCTCTGGAGTTTCCCATCTCAGTTCCACCAATTTCTAGCTAAGTGGTTACTCCTTAGAAATGTGTGTGCTTGTATTTTTTTAGTAGAGACGGGGTTTCACCTTGTTAGCCAGGATGGTCTCGATCTCCTGACCTCGTGATCTGCCTGCCTCAGCCTCCCAAAGTGCTGGGATCACAGGCATGAGCCACTGCGCCCAGCCTAAAAAAATTTTTTAAATTAGCCAGACGTGGTGGCAGGCACCTGTAGTCCCAGCTCCTAGGGAGGCTGAGGCAGGAGAATGGTGTGAACCCGGGAGGTGGAGCTTGCAGTGAGCCCAGATCGCACCACTGCACTCCAGCCTGGGCGACAGAGTGAGACCCTGTCTCAAAAACAAACAAAAAAAGAAATGTGTGTGCTTAGCCAGGTGTGGTGGTCCATGCCCGTAATCCCAATTTTTGGGAGGCCAATGCGGGCGGATCACTTGAAGTCAGGAGTTCGAGACCAACCTGGCCAACATGGCGAAACCCCATTTCTACTAAAAATACAAAAATTAAGCAGGTGTGGTAGTGCATGCCTGTAATCCCAGCTACTAGGGGGCCTAAGCGAGGCAGGAGAATTGCTTGAACCCAGGGGGTGGAGGTTGCAGTGAGCCGAGATTGTGCCCCTGCACTCCAGCCTGGGCCACAGAACGAGACTCCATCTCAAGAAAGAAAAAAAGAGTGTGTGCTTAGCAAGATGTTTCCCAAAGCAGTTTAGTAAACAGCTTGATGCAGGTTTTTTTCCCTAAGGGCTTAATATTGGATTATTCTTCATGATCAGTAACCTATTATTGTGTATAATTGTAATTTCCCCTGACATTACTCTTTTACCTTATCTTCAATATGCATCCTGTGCTAGATTTTGCTAATTCTTTTCTGTGTTGCTATTTTAATACTTTCTTAAGCATCCTACCCTTCCACTATATGGGCATCAAGCTCTGGGCTTCCCAGTCAGTCTCATTTACATGAGTTAGAATAACCTAATTCTACTAGTGACTGTAGCAGCCTAGGACATTAAACAAAACTACAGGGCAGCTGAGTTTATTATTTTCTTTTCTTTTTTTTTTTAGAGATGGAGTCTCGCTGTATTGCCCAGGCTGTAGTGCAGTGGCATGATCTCGGCTCACTGCAACCTCCGCCTCCCAGGTTCAAGCAATTCTCCTGCCTTAGCCTCCCAAGAAGCTGGGACTACAGGTGCCCACCACCACACCCGGCTAATTTTTTGTATTTTAGTAGAGACAGAGTTTCACCATGTTGCTCAGGCTGGTCTCGAACTCCTGAGCTCAGGCAGTCCGCCCGCCTCAGCCACCCAAAGTGCTAGGATTACAGGCATGAGCCACTGTGCCTGGCCAAGTATATTATTTTCATACCAACTTGTCATAAATCCCATCTGTAATTCCTGTGTAAACCCCAGAATATTCAAACGTTCTTTTTGTGAAATGTTGATCAACTCCTTTTCTTTTTTTTTTTTTTTTTTTGAGACTGAGTCTTGCTTTGTGGCCCAGGCTGGAGTGCAGTGGTGCAATCTCAGCAGCTCACTGCAACCTCTGCCTCCCAGGTTCAAGCGATTCTCGTGCCTCAGCCTCCCAAGTAGCTGGGATTACAGGTGCCCACCACCATGCCTAGGTAATTTTTGTATTTTTAGTAGAGACAGAGTTTCACCATGTTGGCCAGGCTGGTCCTGAACTCCTGACCTCAAGTGATCCGCCTGCCTCAGCCTTCTAAAGTGCTGGGATTACAGGCGTGAGTCATTGAACCTGGCCTGATCAGCTTTTATAGGTTTTTAACATGTCTGTTATTCAAAGAGTGACCAACTCAAATTAATATTTTCAAATTACAACTTTAAAACAAAAAAAGGCCAGGCACGATGGCTCATGCCTGTAATCCTAGCACTTTGGGAGGCCGAGGTGGGCAGATCACCTGAGGTCAGGAGTTTGAGACCAGCCTGGCCCAACTCCCATCTCTACTAAAAGTACAAAAATTAGCCGGGCGTGGTGGTGCCTGCCTGTAGTCCCAGCTACTTGGGAGACTGAAGCAGGAGAATTGCTCAAACCTGGGAGGCGGAGGTTGCAGTAAGCCAAGATCGCACCACTGCACTCCAGCCTGGGCGACAGAGCAAGACTCCATCTCAAAAAAAAAAAAAAAAAGGTGTTTCTGCTTTTAAAAAGTACCCTAAGAGTCCCTTAACTTCTGAGTTCCTTATAAGAAACATCAGATGAACTCTGATGTAACTTTAAAATGTCCCTTAAAGTTGATAAAAGATACCTTAATTGTAATGAAAAATGAAAAAATGGACTATTTCTACACTTTCTAACAGATTGTACATTTTTGACAGAATTTACTTGTGTGTGATTATCATATACTTTATGATAATGAATATTTGATAGTTTTAGGTCCTTTCCGAGGTTACCTTTAGAAACAAGAAACCTTGCCTTTTGAATGAGGTTATGTCTGTTACCAGGAGTGGCATGATCATCATTTTATCTGGGGAATGATTACATCAGAGCTATGGAAATCCTGGGCTAAAGTGATTACTTCTGTAGACCATGCATTTTGAGACAAATTGTCTACCTAAACCAAAATAGATTACCTTACCTTTTTCCTACATAATATTTCCTTGAATTGTTAAATTAAGAAATGTATTTAATTCTTACTACATAAAAAATTTTGTATTACATGGTATCATGAAATTCAAAGGAAAATCTCCCTATGGAATTTCATAGTCTAGTATTTTTAAATATTAAAAGTTAAATTCAGTATTTACTTTTGGATCTTTATGTTTTTCTGGTATTTATAATTTGCTGACATTGTGAGGAAAAGGAAACACAGGAGTGTCCCATTTTGAGCTTTTGTAGACTGTAAGTGCCATGAGGGGGCCAATCATGTCTGTCTAAATAAATATTTGCTGTGTGAACAAGTGAAAAAATGGGAAACAAAATAGTCCCATGAAATAAAATAAAGGTTATATATTTTAGCTGAGATATGGGTATAAGCTAGGCTGAATGAGCCTAATAGGATGGTTATTTATTATGTAAATAATGTCTTCATTTATTAAATCAAAATAGTTTTTAAGTGTAATCAAAATACAATTCTAGACCAAAGTTTCTCTTTTATCTATCATATTGTCACTCATACTATGCTTAGTTTTACTATAAGATACTTACTTTGAATGCATTTGCTTTGATTCCCCTACTCTTGATTTTGTTGTATTTTGCATTAAATAAAGTGAGTTTGGGAGGAAGAACTGGAAGTTTTAGTAGTTGATTTTCAGCAAGTGAAAGTTCTTCTAACAGAGAAAGTTTTGAAAAAGTACCGTCTTCTATATCTTCTATCAAATTTCCCGTAAAATCGAGTCTTCTTAAGTTAGCTAGAGGGAAAAATATACAAAAAACAACTAAATAACTAAAATTCTTATTGTATGGACTGAAGAAAAGCATTTGTTTAACAGATCACTCAAGCATCTTTCATTTTTAGTGCCTGGTAGATCACTGAACACCTCTTTGTGCCTGAAATTGATGCCCTTTCTGACTGGAGTCCTAGAATCTCAGGTTTGAAAGTGATCTTAAAGTTAATCGAGTCTTTTCATCTTTCTCTGTTCAAATTCCTCGGGATGGTCAGGCAGTTTGAAAGAAATTCTTATTTCAAATCATGGAAAGTAAGTATTACATTTGATTGGAATCATGTAATATTTTTTGATTTTTTTGCTGGCATGTTGCATTGTGATTCTGAGTATGTTATCTTAATCTTAATCTCTCTATGCCTTATCGCTTAACAACAACAAAGACAAAGATGTTCCCTGATTTGTTAAAGTGACACAGATTGAGAGAGAAATTCAGTGTGTGTGTGTGTGTGTGTGTGTACTTGCGTGTGCATCACTTATATCTGGGATAATTAGGAAATACAATTGTTTCTTATTCACAGGAATCGTGTTCTATACAATTACCACAAGTGCTGAATGTGTAAATACTGAACCATTATTCCTAGGAGAAATACAGGGTTATGTTCCTGTGAGCCTCTGGTCACACATTTCCATCAACTAATTAGTACATAACTTTTTGTGTTTTTGCTTAAGGACCCTTGGCTTAATATATATTGTTGAATCATTAATATTGCAGTGTAACTCAATATGCCTGAACAAACCTTATCTAACATATTTTCCCTGTAGGCATGTTACAGCCTTTTTGTGCTTGGGGATGTTAGACGTCACTTCAGCACCATGTGTTGGGTCATGTTAAACAGCAAAATCAGGCCAGGTGCGGTGGCTTATGCCTGTAATCCCAGCACTTTGGCAGGCCAAGGTGGGCGGATCACTTGAGGTCAGGAGTTCGAGGCCAGCCTGGCAAACATAATACAACCTCATCTCTATTAAAAGTACAATAAAAAAATTAGCCAGGTGTGGTGGCATATGCCTGTAGTCTCAGCTACTCGGGAGGCTGAGGGACAAGAATCCCTTGAACCCGGGAGGCAGAGGCTGCAGTGAGTCGAGATCACACCCCTGCCCTCCAGCCTGGGCGACAGAGCGAGACCCTGTCTCAAACAAAAACACCTCCCAAAAAAACAAAACTCAATAAACAGCAAAATCATAAACACAAAGCACAAAAATGTGAAAAACATGTCATTAAATAGACTGTGAACGGTCTATTTATTTACAGTATGAAAACCGGAACATTTATTTACAGTATGAAAACCAGAACAGAAGACAGTGTTACCTTGTTCAGCCTCAGATGGGAATGTGCATGTCAAGTAATTCAAATTTTTTGCCACTCTGAGCGTGTCTGAGAATGACCATGAAAGCACCATGTGTATTAATTTTGGGATTATAAATAAATTTTAGCAAGTGGGTATTCACAAATACAGAATCCACAAATAACAAGGATCAACTATACTTCAGTCCACATTCGGGAGCTATCAGCGGCAGCATGACTCTGGTTACGGTTAATCTCATAAATGTATAGTGGGGCCAGTATGCATTTCTTGGTGTGATTTTTTTCAGAACTCTTGACGACGATATTAGGAGTCTAGAAAACTGACAAGAAATTAGTGATCTAGGACTGGGATTTGGCGCTGCAGAAATGGAGCATTCTGGTGTGCTTATGGCAACACTCTAATTGAGTTAAGGTTTGCTAGAAGTTCAAGATTGATAATGACCTGGTAAGGAATTAAATTCCACTGTTCTCAACACTATTTCCATATTAGAATCATCCAAGGAGTTTGTTTTTAATGATGTTGCCTGGGCCCTACCCCAGATCTGAATTACAACCCCTGGGAAGTAGGACCTAGTATCAGTATTTAAAAAATACTTCCCTGCCGGGCGCAGTGGCTCATGCCTGTAATCCCAGCACTTTGGGAAGCCTAGGCGGGTGGATCACAAAGTCAGGAGTTCGAGACCAGCCTGGCCAACATGGTGAAACCCCATGTCTACTAAAAATACAAATATTAGCCAGGTGTGGTGGCACGCACCTCAGCTACTTGAGAGACTGAGACAGGAGAACCACTTAAACCTGGGAGACAGAGGTTGCAGTGAGCCAAGATCACGCCACTGCACTCCAGCCTGGGTGACAGAGCAAGACTCCATCTCGGGGTGGGGCAAGAAAAAAAAAAAACACTTCCCAAGATATTTTTAATATGCAGCCAGGTTTAAGAACCATTAAAGTAAGAAAAAGCGGTTTCTGTGTTTTTTTAGTGCAGGTAGAAAATAAAACATTGTGGTTGGAAAAGCATCCCAGTTATATTGGTGTTGCTCAGTGTCAGAGCAAGGGATCTTGAAGTATTGGAGTTGAGAAGATATAGTTGCCCATGTGTTAGATGGGCTGTCGTCATAGACAGTGAGGTCACCAGTAAACAAAGATCACAGGGTCTGTCTAAGTGGAAAGATGATTCACCAACAAATGAATGGACTTTTGTGAAACATGTTTGATATTTATATACTCCAGGTGACAAACCTATGTGTGATAGGCAGCAACTGTATAGAAACTTGTATTTATATGAGTTAAATACTAATAATCATATTTCAGTTTAACTTACGTATGTCTGCAAAATCTTTGGCAGTCAGCTTTTTAATTTTGTTGAATCGTGCGTAAAGATAGGCTGATTCCTTTGGCAAGGGTGGTACAGTATCAATGTCAACTTCTTCACAGTATACAGAGCCACTTAAACAAACACACAGCAGACACGTGGGCATTTCTAAATTGGGAAATAAAATCATAAAAATATGAACAATAGTTTGAAAATATTTCGCCTCTAGTAGTAAAATTATTGCTATTATGAATGCTATTACTAATTTGAAGAGATGTTTTACAGAATCTTAAGAAAGATAGTCATGGTAACTCGTTACCTATGTTGTCTTGATAATTCACCAGAATAGTGTTTGAGAATCTCTTTTTATTTTGTTTTACTGGTAATTGCTTAATTGTTGAATTGATTGACAGTTACATTTCCTTATTTGAAAACCAAAAAAATTTACAAAGCGGGAGTTGAGGTAAACATAAGCTTGATTTATTAAGTTTGATGTGTGAGAAACATATTTCAGACTGGTGACAGTAGCTAGATTTTAGTAACCACTAGTTAAATAAGGAAACCATTAACTTGAAAATTAGAGTAATCATAGGCACTGTTTGGATCCCTTAGCACCCCAAGTCATTTATTACTTTACTTGTCATGCCTCTTGGAACATTTCTTAATCTTTGTTTTTTATACCTTTTTCTGTTTTTGAAAAGTGTAGAGCTTTTTTTTTTTTTCTTTAGTTTTATTTTTCAGGGCATTTATTCTGCAGAATGCCTTTCAGTTGACAGAGGTTTCTCATTTTTGGCAGGAGTACCATGGATCCTCAGTGCTGTGTGTCCAAAAGCACATGATATCTGTTTATCCCATTCCTGATAATATCTTTGGTCACTTGTTTCAAGTAGTGTGTGCCGTGTTGCTCACTGAGTAAAGTTAATATTTTTTCACTTCATAACTAATAAGTAATTCTGGAGAAGTACTTTGAGAATCTAAATGTCTAGTGTGACATTGTACTTTCATATGCTAGTTTTAGCATCCATTGATGATTCTTACCTGAATCATTTGTGAGTAACCAAATAGTGATTGTCTAATTCCATCATTCCTTCTATATTTGTTAGTTGGCACTCTCTTCTTATTTTTTTATATCAATATGAACTTGTTTTATATATTTTGATATATTTTATTATTTATTTACTTACATATTTTTGAGACAGAGTCTTGCCCTGTTGCTCAGGCTGGAGTGTAGTGGTATGATCTTGGCTCACTGCAACCTCCACCTCCCCAGTTCAAGCGATTCTTCTGCCTCAGCTCCTGAGTAGCTGGGATTACTGGCGTATGCCACCACACATGGCTATTTTTTTTATTTTTTTGAATTTTTAATATAGACAAGTTTTCACCATGTTGGCCAGGCTGGTCTCAAACATTACCTCAAGTGATCTGCCTGCCTCTGTCTCCCGAAGTGCTAGGATTACAGACGTGAGCCACCACACCTGACCTGTTTTGATATATTTTAAATATATTAAATAAACATGCCAAATTTTATTTTTTGAATTTTTTTATTTTTTTCTGAGACGAAGTCTTGCTCCATCACCCAGGCTGGAGTACAGTGGCGTGATCTTGGCTCACTGCAGTCTCCGCCTCCTGGGTTCAAGCAGGAGCCTCCCAAGTATCTGGGATTACAGGCATGTGCCATCATGCCCAGCTAATTTTTTTGTATTTTTAGTAGAGACTGGGTTTCACCATGTTGGCCAGGCTAGTTTAGAACTCCTGACCTCAGGTGATCTACCTGCCTCAGCCTCCCAAAGTGCTAGGATTATAGGTGTGAGCCACCACGCCCAGCCTATTTTTTGAAATTTTAATTGATATTTTCATATCAACATGCATTGTGTCCCATGAGTCATAATCCATGTTTATTTTAATAATCAAATCGTCACAGATTAGGCAGTGAGTGCCCTTTCAAGCTTTTTTTCCTGCTACAGCTTTTTGTGGTTAGTTGACTTACAATTGATTGCATGTATTTAAATTGTACAAAATATACGATTTTTACATATGTATACCCCCATGAAACCTTCACTACAAGTGAGTTAATTAACATAACTGTCACTCCAAAAAGTTTTCTCCTGCCCTTTGGTAATCTCTCCCTCCCACTCTTATCCTCGAACAATGACTGACCTGCTTTTGGTCAGTATACATTAGTTTGCATTTAAGAGAATTTTATAGTAAAAGAATCATGTAGTATCTACTCGCTTTTCTGGCTTCTTTCACTCTGCATTATTATTTTGAGTTTCAATCTGTATCAGTAGTTCATTCTTCTTTATTACTCAGTAGTATTCAATTGTCTCAGTATATACAATTTACATGGTCATTTCCTATGGACATTGGGTTGTTTCCAGGTTTTCACTATTTCAAAGAAATTTATGTGTAAGTTTGTGTGGACTTATGCTTTCATTTCTCTTGGGTAAGTACCTAAGGAGTGGAATGACTGGGTCTTATTATAAATGTATGTTTTATCTTTTGAAGAAAGTGTCAAATTATTTTCCAAAGGACTGTGCCATTTTACATTCCTACCAGCAGCATATGAGAGTTCCAGCTGCTCCACATCCTTGCCAAAATTTGGTATGGTCTGGCTTTTTAATTTTAGCAATTGAAATGTAGGGCATGTTATAGTATCTCATTGTGTTTTAATTTGCATTCTCTGATAACTAATGGTGTTAACATCTTTTCATGTCCTTGTTTGGCATCCATATATTTTCTTTGATGACTTATCTTTTTTTTTTTTTTTTTTTTCCTCTTACTAGTTTTCCTTTTGGAAATGAAACATTTTAAATTTCAATGAAGAACAGTTGGTTCCTTTATAATTCATGGTTTCTGTGTTGTATTTAGGAAATGTTTGCCGACCACCAAGATTTGACACTTTATTTTATTCTAGAAGTTGTATAGCTTAAGATCTTTACCTTTAGGTATGCGGTATACTTTGGGCTAATTTTTATATATGGTGCCAGGAAGGGTTAAGATTCTTTTTTGAAACATTTTCCTATAGTTGTCTGGTTCTTTCAGCACCATTTTTGAAAAAGATTATTCTTTCCCCATTGAATTGTGTTGTCACATTGTCAAGAACTATTTGGTTACTTCATGCTAGCCTGTTTCTGGATTCTATTTTGTTCTGTTGATCCACTTCAACATTTTTATGCCAATACTGCAGTGTCTTGATTCCTGTACCTTTATAATAGTCTTGTTAGTATAAATCCTGCAACTTTCTTCTTCTTCAATGTGGTTTAGACTATTCTAGGTCCTTTATATTTTTAGATATATTTTAGAATCAGTTTGTTAATTAAACAAACAAAAAAACCTATTAGGATTTTGATTGGGATTGTGTTGAATTTCTAAATTTGGGGAAAACTGACATCTTAATGATATTGAGTCTTCCAGACCTTGAACATAATACATTTCTCCTCATATGTAGGTCTTCCTTAATTTCTCTTAGCATTATCTAGATTTCAGTGTACAGATCTTACATACTTTTTTTTTTTTTTTTTTTTTTTGAGACAAGATCTCACGCAGTCACCCAGGGTGGAGTGCAGTTGCATGATCATGGTTCACTGCAAACCTTGACCTCCTGGGCTCAAGTGATCCTCCTGCCTCAGCCTCTCAAGTAACTGGGACTACAGGTTTGTGCCACCACACCTGGCTTTTTCTTGGTTAAAATTTTTGTAGAGACATGGTGTCACTATGTTGCCCAAGCTGGTCTCAAACTCCTGAGGTCAAGCAGTCCTCTCGCCTTCGCCTTCCAATAAACATCTTTTATATCTATTTCTTTCATATGTTTTGATGGATTTAAAAACATTTTGTCGGGAGGCTGGGTGCAGTGTCTCAGGTGTGTAATCTCGGCACTTTTGGAGGCCAAGGCGGGCGGATCATTTGAGTCTAGAAGTTTGAGACCAACCTGGGCAACATGGTGAAACCTCATCTCTACAAAAAATACAAAAATGAGCCAGGTGTGGTGGCACGTGCCTGTAGTCCCAGCTACTTGGGAGGCTGAGGCAGGAGAATTGCTGGAGCCTGGGAGGTCAAGACTGCAGTGAGCCATGATCATGCCACTGTACTTCAGCCTGGGTAACAGAGCAAGACCCTGTCTCAAAAAAAAAAAAAAAAAAAAAAAAAAAAAAAAAATTCCCTCATTATTCTTTGAGAACTTCCTTATTTTCTAAAATAGCAAGATGTCCCAAACTAACCTTGCATTTTTCCTGCCCAACCCTGAAATCAGCTATCTCTTCAGAAAGCATTGGGGTTTTTTTTTTTGGTTTGTTCATTTGTTTTTGAGACAGAGTTTTGCTCTATCACCCAGGCTGGAGTGCAATGGCGCAGTCTCGTCTCACTGCAACTCTGCCTGTTGAGTTCAAGTGATGCTCCTACCTCAGCCTCCCAAGTAGCTGAGATTACAGACGTGTACCACCATGCCCAGAATAATTTTTTGTTGTTGTTGTATTTTTAGTAGAAACGGGGTTTCACCATGTTGGCCAGGCTTGTCTCAAACTCCTGACTTCAGGTGATCCACCTGCCTCGGCCTCCCAAAGTGCTGATATTACAGGCATGAGCTATCACACCCGGCCACCATTGGTGTCTTTTAGTGGAGAATGGTATTAGAAACCAAGATGTAGGTGCTGAGTGTGCTCATTGCCATTGAGATCAATGTTGCTTCTAGGCTCTTTCAGCAGAGACAGCTAGGAAATAAATGTGTGTGTTTATTTGTCTCTTTCTCCATAGATAATACACATACATGCAACATATATGGATAGAAACATATACAATATACATGCATATGTATAACATATACTAATATGTATACATATACACACAGAGATAAACAGATAAACATTTCTATATTTCTGTATCTCTTTATATATACAAACCCCGAGTTAATACTAGTATCTTCTACTCCAAACTGACTCCACAGCGTTCTTTCTAGCCTTCTGCCTTTCCATATTTGTAATGTTTCCCTGACAGTGAGGAACCTGGCTCTCATTATTTACAATATATTTACTTAGTTCTGGCACACTCATTAAGTAGTTCCAATATTGCTAAGTCGTAACACTGTGCATAGCAAACCTACTCACTGGAGCTTCGTATTTGTTTGTAGTTCTTTTTTGTCCTTAGCCTGAAGGTATATAGGCAAAATGCTGTGTTTAACAGTTACTTAGAGTTTTTTCCTCCTTTGGTGTGTTATTAATTTGAAATATAATTAAGTTTATGTTTGTATGTTTGTATTCCAATTTGGGTTCTTTTTACCTTATTCTTGTTGATTTCATTTATATATGTATTTGGTTTTTTGACTGTACGAAACAGCATTGTTCTAAAAATTAAATCTACATTAAAAAGTGTATACGCAGAGAACTGCCATCCCCTCTCCCCCAATTTCTTTTTAGCCTGTATTTATTTTCACAGAAATAAGCAGATACATATATGTTTTCTTATATCCTTTTCTTTCTTACATGAAAGACGACATATTATAGATATTCTTTTACACTTTGTTTTTTTTTTCACATAGTGTATCCTGGAAATCACTCCATGTTAATTCTTAGAGATCTTCCTCATTCATTTTTACAACTGCATAGTATTCTCTTCTGTTGGATTTACCCTTGTTTATTCAACTACTCTTCAGTATTTGGGCAGTTAAATTATTTCTGATATTTTGCAGTTGCATGCAATGCTTTAGTGATTTTGCATTTGTATTTTATTTTGGAGTATATCATCAACATAAATTTCTCAAAGTTGGCCAGGTGCAGTGGCTCACGCCTGTAACACCAGCACTTTGGGAGGCCAAGGCAGGAGGATCACTTGAGGTCAGGAGTTCAAGATCAGCCTGACCAACATGATGAAACCTGTCTCTACTAAAAATATAAAAATTAACCTGGCATGCACATGCCTGTAATCTCAGCTACTTGGGAGGCTGAGGCAGGAGAATCGCTTGAGCCCAAATGGCAGAGGTTGCAGTGAGCCGAGATCATAATGCTGTACACTAGCCTGAGAGTGAGACTCTGTCTCAAAAAATAAACAGTCAAAGTTGGTTCTTTTTTTTTTTTTTTTGAGACGGAGTCTGGCTCTGTCGCCCAGGCTGGAGTGCAGTGGCCGGATCTCAGCTCACTGCAAGCTCCGCCTCCCAGGTTTACGCCATTCTCCCGCCTCAGCCTCCCGAGTAGCTGGGACTACAGGCGCCCGCCACCTCGCCCGGCTAGCTTTTTTTGTATTTTTTAGTAGAGACGGGGTTTCACCGTGTTAGCCAGGATGGTCTCGATCTCCTGACCTCGTGATCCGCCCGTCTCGGCCTCCCAAAGTGCTAGGATTACAGGCTTGAGTCACCGCGCCCGGCCTCAAAGTTGGTTCTTATGTCAAAAAGTAAATGCATTTTTTATTTTGTTGGATATTGCCAAGTTCCTGTCCAAAAGCATTGTGCTGATTTGCCTTCCTGCTGTCGTGTATGAGTGTCTTACCCCAGAGCCTTGCTCATGGAATATATTAATGTGTTGTCATACGTCAGTTTTTTCAATCAGGTAGGTTAAAAATGGTATCTCAATGTAATTTTAATTTGTATGTCTGTGTGAGATTGAACATTTATTTGGGTCAAATCGTTTAAATTATCTTGTGAATTGTCATTTTTCCAGTGGATTTTTGGTTAATCTCTTTTCTTTGATTTTTAAGAGTGCTTTATAAAATTAGAGATACTAGCTCTTTATTTTTAGTTATATTATCTGTTAGCTCTTTAGTTATACTATTTATCTGTAGTATATGTTGCAAATATTTTTCACAGTTTTTAGTTGCCTTTGACTTTGTCACAGGTATTTGTAGGGTCAAATTTATTGTTCTTTTCTATTGTTGTCTCTGGATTTTGAGGCGCCCTGCACCCAGATTATTTTCTAGTACTTGTATGGTTTCATTTTATACATTCAGATTGCTAATCTATTTGGAATTTATTTTTGTGTAAGGTATGGATCTAAATGTACCCCTCTTCAAATGGCTTTTTCTCCCAGCACCATTTTTTTAAAATACCATTTTTGCTTCAGTGATTTGGGTTGGTACCTTTAGTGTGTACTCAATTTTCAAGTGTATTTTTGTCTGTTTCTGGACTTTCTATTCTATTTCATTGATCTTTTTGTCTATTCATATACCAGTATCACACTTTTTAAAGTATAGAGTTTTATAATATATTTTAATGTGTAATACATCTGATTCCTACATATACTTGTCATTGTTCACTGTTTCCCTTGCTATTTGTTATATGTTATTCCATATGAATTCTAGAATCCGTTTTTCCAGCTTCATAAAAAAATTTATTGGTAATTTTAGTTGGATTGTTTAACATATATAAATTTAGAAAGAACTGACATCTTTTTGATTTTGAGTCATTCTATCCAAGAAGAAGGGCTGTCTTTTGTTTTTTGTTTGTTTTGTTTTGTTTTTTTGTTTTTTTGAGACGGAGTCTCGCTCTGTCGCCCAGGCTGGAGTACAGTGGTGCGACCTTAGCTCACCGCAACCTCCGCCTCCCGGGTTCAAGCAATTCTCTGCCTCAACTTCCCGAGTAGCTGGGATTACAGGCACCCGCCACCACGCCTGGCTAATTTTTTGTATTTTTAGTAGAGACAGTGTTTCACCATCTTGACCAGACTGGTCTTGAACTCCTGACCTCGTGATCCACCCACCTCAGCCTCCCAAAGTACTGGGATTACAGGCGAGAGCCACCACGCCCAGCCTGGGATGTCTTTAAATTTATTCAAATCTATTTTTACTATCATACTTCTCGTTTTTTAAGCTTTATTTTCTGTTATGGTTCATTTTCATTTTATTGTAGCAATATAGAAATTAATATGTGGTTTTTGTCATGTTTTCATGTGAAATAACGTTCCGTGATAGAGTAAGAGTAAACCAATACACAGGAATTATTAAGTAGGACTTGTAATTTGTTATTTCATGACAAGTTTTCTATTGTTGTAATTGAAATGTATGTGATAATTATTGATGTATATGTATGTTTCTGTTCTGTGAGTTTCTTAAAGGCAGTAATTATATTTACCGTATACTGAGGCTGTACATTGTATTTGGCAAATAATCCTTGTTTAAGTATTTCTTGAATAGATTTTATATGGACAGAAACCACACTTTGTGGAGGCTAAGCTTTGGTTGTTCTCAAAAGTTCTCATTCCACATTTGTCACTTATAATGTGGGATGGCAAATGGTGTGCACTCCCAGTACACCTGTTTGACTTTATCATTGGAAACAAAATTCCACTGTTTGTATTTACTGTATCTTGAGTCAGTTTTTGATTACCACAAGGAATAAAGTCCATTATAGCTATTTATAAAGGATCCATTTGAAAAATATTTAGATGATACTTACCATCATTTTCTTTCCTGGGAGGTAATGGTGTTATTGCCTCATCTTTTTGTAATTGACTTTTCTCATTGGGTATTATCACAGTTTCTTTTTCCTATTGGAAAAATAAAAGTTTGTTACCTAGCTTGATTAAGTCTGTGTTACTGTAAAACCGAGGGATCACAGGCACCTTCTCGTAGTTACAATTAGTGGCATTTCTTTTGTGCTCCATTAGGCTTTCATACATATTTCCATTTTATCATTTATTAAATTACAGTGTAAATATTTTTTAGCTTGTTTTTATTCTAGACTATGAGCTCCTTGAGTAAAAGAACTGGGTGTTTTTATTTTTATATCTCCAGTAGCTATACTCAGTGCTTAATAAATATTGAACTTATTGAAATTCCAAATGAAAGCTGGCTGAGAATTCCCTGAATTGGAATGAAAGATTTTCTGAAGTGAAACTATTCCTCAAGGGTCTTGTCTGAACTGAGTTTCTCATTCAGATTCTACCATTTTGAGCAAGACTAGAGCTCTAGCCATGTCACAAGTATAAACTACTGATTAAGGTCTTTAGGTCTCTTCTTGGGGTGACCCTTTAATTACCTATATCCCTCCATTAAGCCCTGGCTCTTGGAGCCCTTTTATTCCAGCTTACCTTATCTACCCTTAACACCTAATGGTGTAGGCCTTTAATTCTGGGGAAATTGGAGTAGATATAATTTAAATCCTCTCTTTCCTATTGTTGGAGAGTACGTTTTCTGCCATTGGATTACAGTGTATTATGTGGTGTCCTATTCTTTCTGTCCTTTGTAAGCATGTTCCATTTTAGTCTTGGTCTTGACTCCTGACTCTGCCCTTCACCTTCATTCTCCCATTTGTGAGGTGGTTGAACTTCTTCCCTCTACTCTGTGTTTGCACATCAAGTCCTGTTGGATTCTACTCCACTCCACAAATATCTTAAATCCTGCATTTATAGTAAGATAAAGAAACTTCTAAAGCCCTGTAAAGAGAAGAATCAGAGAGAAAAATCATCTCTAAACTCTTTGGGGATCAGGGAATCTTCAAAGTGTTTTTAATAGATTCAAATCATCCAAGTGAGCCAGTAGCCTATGTTATGATGGGCTTTTTTTTTCTTTAACTTGAAGCTATAATTAGTAATACCTATCCTTTGTGTCTTAGTGATGGGCAAAAATAATGCTATCATATTAAAAGCATTAACTGAAAGAAAGAAACTGTGGTGTTAACATTTGCTCATCGTGTACCCCTGCAAAAAAAGAAAAGAGAAAGTAGCAGTTGTAACTGGTCAATGTTACAGTCTTTATCATCCAATTTATAGTGGAGAAGAACTTCTGAAACAATCCGCATTGTTATATATTTGGCTGAATTTCTCATTTTCCAGTGTATATGTGTATGTGTCATACATAGTGGGCAACAGATACTAATGTGCTGTATTAACTTTTTCCTTATCCAGCATTCATTTCTGTGTGTCAAGAAAACCACAAGTAATTACTTTGTCCATAAAGGTGGAGAATGAATGATGTGGTATAACGTCACCCCTGCAGTGTTAACTCAATGACAGTTACAGTTACTTGGTACAAATTGATAGAGGGTCTAAACTGTTAAAACTGATTTAAAAAGAAAGTCCTATATCGAGTAGGTTTTCAGTTTTTGGTACTGTATGTAGATGGCATATATAAATTATTGTGGAATGCTATTGATATCAAAATAACCAGTACTCTTTTATTTATTTTCTTAAAATTGTTTTCTATAATAATAACCTTAAGCTGATAATTCATCTTTATTTCTCCATATACACATTTCTGCTAATTTATTTTTGAAGGCAACACAACGTTGCAAATATAGGGCATTGTGTAATATTACTTAATATATAAATTACAACTGGTCAGAGACCATCTTAAAGTCTAGTTTTCTTTAAGTTTTATTTTTTGGTTACTATAGATAATGTTTGGTTACCATAGGTACCATTTATTAATTTGAAAAGCATACATACTCTAAAAATATAATCTTAGGGACAATTATTATGAATTCATTTGAATCATTTAAAGTGATTTTCCCTTCCCCTTACCTTGTCAGACACATTCAGGAAAAACAAAAACATGCATTTAAATGGGCAGTATTTTAGAAGCTAAATTTAGAGTAGAAATAAAGTACCTTAATATTTTTTCCATCCAGGTATTTATCCTCATAATCTTGGCTAAATATGGATTCTTCAAAATTATCTGTTCCATAATCATAGATAATGCGTGAGTCCTGCTGAGTTGGTGGTGCTGGCTTTATCAGAGGCACAAACAGTAACAGGAGAAGTGTAGACTGCAGAGTCTTCATTTTAGCAAAAATCAAGGTGACTGGAAGTTAATAAACTAGTGGCCTGCTGACTGTGGGACAAAACTCTCTTTTTCCCTGGAAATAAAAATTCAGACCATCGAAGCAATATTTAAAAGCTTAGAGGATGTTTTGGCAGGGTGTGCGCAGTAAGGGCCAGAGAACAGTATTTAACCCTTAGTGATCTTTAATTAGATGCCAGCAGTTTTTACATATCAGTGAGCATTCTGAAAAATAGTTTTGGAAAATAGTTTTATTTCTTCTCTATCAGAAATTCAAGAAAGATTGATAATTTTAAGTTTCTTAATTAAGTGCCTTCAACAGACATACTAATATTTAATTGAAATATTCTTAGGATACCTGTAGTATAAATAGTTAAAATGAAGTCCCAAGATCCTGTCTCATGTGAGTTAAAAATATCATATTTCAACTTAGCTACTTTATAAGAACTCTTGATTTGTATTGGTATGAACAGAAACAAGTTCCAAGAAAAGTTTTAAAATTTAATTTAACATTATGAAAAGTAGTCATTAACACCTTTAGGTGGTACAGAATATAGGAAAAGCCATACATTTTAAATTTTCTTGGTTTTGTAATTTTAATAGGTGATCACAATTTTTAGTTAATAGTATTGTATTTTTAATTTAAACTATGAAAACTGAAAGAATAGTATTGCAGGCTGGAGGAAATACCGAACTTTAATCAAAGAACTTTGAGGAATGTAATAGAAAAGATTCCTTTAGGCTCATCAACGGATTTTCTCTGGTGGGTGCACATTTCAGACTTTTTCTTAAGTAACTTCAAACAGAATCACTCAGAGTTGCTGATGCTGCATTATAGATGCCAGTTTGTCAAAAATCCAGAGGTTGAAAATGAAGAATAAAATGGATTTGTGACTTTTGCAGCACCCTATTCTTGCCTGCGTGGATGTTAAAGTTATGCGATGATATACATAAGTACTTGTTAAAAATTAATTGTTTGAGGTAACTGAAACTTAAACCAGAGATGGCCTTTACATTTTTAAGCCTATTAGTTGAGTCACACTTTAACAAACAATATTTAAAATAATATATGAAAAGTAAGCCTACCGTTGTAGCTGTTTTGAAGTTTTTTGTGGTTTTCCTCAATAGATGTTCATGTCTGTGCATTAGCCCCAAGTGGGAGGGTGAATGAGAAAAGCTATGGCTTGATTTCAAACTGCTGAGTAAAATTTCAGGGCCCAGCAGCTTTAAGAACAGTTTCCATGTGATAGAGATCTTTGCCAGCATTCTTTCTCTAGGGTGAAATGCAGTGTGTTGTACTAGAGAACTGTGCTTAAGATATTTGTTGTAACTGCTACACTCAGTCCGCTTCAACTAATTGACTCTAAACTTGTGTCATTTTATTATTGTGTAATAAACATTTGTGTTTTGGTGAATATTAGTTTATGAAAATGATATAAAGTCTTCCTTTTCATTTTGGTGATTTCCCAGGAGATTTAACATCTGCTTTTTGAATGAAATAGAACACCAAATGAAAACATAGTCCATGTTGTTAATCTTATGAGAATTAAAAATACTGCCCTAATACCGTAATTAATGTATAGCCAAGAAATTTCCAGTGTAAAAATTAGTTTTAAGACAAATTATTTTATAGTTTTGTCATTTGGGGTTTTTCTCCCCTTTATTTTAGTTACATATAAGAAAAACTGATCCATAAAAATTAGCTTTTTAAAAGTAAATTCAATTTATAGTTTTTGAGGTTGATAGTAAAAGATACTTTTGTTTGCTGAATGAAAGAAACTTTATAAAATTACTTTAATATTGAAATTGGGTTTTAAAAGTTAAAGTGGCATTGTAGATACCATACAAGCAACTCTGAAGATGTTTTTAAAGAGTCACTTTTAAAAAGTTCCTCCTTGGTGCTTTTAACAATCAAATTAACATTTTCTTCTTTAATCTAAAAATTTAACAAATATGGATATATATTTTATTAAAATAGAAAATGAAAGAATACCAATTTGTTTTCTAGTCAAAATTGTTTTAGAACCTTTCAAATCAAAGCTTAAATAAACTAAGACTTGAATACTGATGTTTTTATTTGAATGTGAATTATCTTAAGTTTAGTTGTGATATTGTCTGGCTTGAGTTGATATAAATTGTTGGTTTTATGACTTCAAGGATACAATAAAACTTTTTAAAGACTGTGAAATATATAATAATGAAACAACAGACATTGATTTGTTTTGTATTGTGTGGCAGGTTAACAAGATATTGACAAGTAAGCTGGATAGATACCATGTGTCCAAATTTAGAGAATCTTAGAGATTCATAGTTTCATTAATGGTACACTTTGATACCTTGTACTACAGAAAATTATTTTGTGAGGAACAACTTTCCTTGAAAAGTTATGACCAGTGAATACAATGTTATTAGCATTCACTCATTTAATAAAAGTTTATTGAACGCCAGTTCTGTGCCAGGACTTCAGACACGTGAACTCAGATAAGCAAACTTCAGTTTCTTCCCTCAAGGAACATTTATAGCCTCTAAGTCAGCAGGAAAAGCAGCAAACAAGCAGCTAGAATACATGGTAGGGCTTGCTACACAGAAATATGCAGAGTTCTGTGATAACCTGGGAGAAGCCACAAACTGACTGGGGGTCAAGGAGACTGCACCCAAACTGACTTCTATAGAGAGGATAGGAGAGGAGGGTATGCACAGGTGATGAGGTATTGTAGGCAAGGGGAGCATCACGTGCTCCCCTTGGGGAGGGGATGGGGGTAGATCATTTAGAAAATTTGTAACTTGTTTTGCATACTGCTGGAGCTTGGAGGGAGAGAGAGAAGTAGTCAGGGGAATGGACCATATTAAGAGATGCGACTAGACAGGGGGAATAGAGGTTGGATTAAAGAAAGTATTTTATATCCTGCTAAAGTATTTGGGCTTTAGTCTGCAGTCAGTGAGAGACCATGTAGAGATTTTTAAGCCAGTGATGACTTAAATATGATCCTGTTTGCATTTTAGAAACATTCCTCTGATGTTGCATTGCTGAAGAATACCACTGTTCATCTATTGTAATGGTTATTTATTACTGTGTGAAAAATATCACAATGGAATGGCTTAGTTAAAATAACACATTTATTATCTCACAGTTTCTGTGGGTCAGGAATTTGGCGTGTCTTTGCTTGATTGTCTGCTTCAGGATCTGCATTTGAAGTGCATCTGGTGCTGCAGCCTCACTTCAGGGGTTGAGTAGGGAAGGATACAATTCGAGGCCCATGTAGCTGTTGGCAGCATTCAGTTCCTTGCAGAATGTGAGACTGTGGACTTAAGTTTCTTGCTAGCTGTTGACTGATGGCCTCCCTCAGTTCCTTGCCATGTGACTTCCTCCACAGGGCAGCTCACAACATTGCAGCCTGCGTCTTAGCTAGAGAAGGAAATAGTCTAGCAAGATGGGCATTACCCGCACTTCTGATACCAACAGCAAGTTCAGGGGATTCCCAGAACCACTCTTTTTACATTTGATAATTCCCTAGAAGAACTCTCAGAACTCACTGAAGACCATTATACTCGTGGTTATGGTTTATATAGAGAAAGGATACACCCTAAAATCAGCCAAAGGGAGAGATGCATAGGGGCAGTGTCTAGAAGCCTCCAGATTTGAGACTTCTATTGTTCTCTGGATGCATTGCCTTACTCGTGTTGATATGTGACAGTGTACATGGGGTATTGCCAACCAGGCAAGCTTATTCTCAGTGTTCAGAGTTTTTATTGGGGCTTTATTAATAGGCTTGATTGATTGATTGATTGAATCCAGCCTCCTGGTCCACTGACACTGCATAACCCAAATCCCTTATCCTACATCACATGGTTGGTCTTCCTGGCATAGCCACCTCAACCTTAAGACTATCAGGTGTGGCTGATGTCACCCTAAACAAAAACACTCCTACCAGAAATGACATAGATCACCTCTCAGAAGCCAAGGCAAAGCCCAGACCTCTCTTTAGGTAAAGCCAAAATCTTTACTACACAGTACTCAATATAAAATGCTTGAAACTGAGGTGATTTTCTGTTCCAGAGAGAAATGAATGCTGATAGAAAGCTATTTAGCTTTTACTGCACAGGAGTAAAAGATGAAAGCTGCCTCATGCTCAAGAGCAGGCATTGTATCCAAAGATGAAAGAATCTTCTTTGTGGAATTCTTTTTATGAAGGCAAGGTCTTGCTCTGTCACCCAAGCTGGAGTGTAGTGGCACGATCATGACTCTCTGCAGCCTCAACTTCGTGGGCCCAAATGCACCACCATGCCTGGCTAAAAAAAAAAAAAAAATTGTAGAGACGGGGGGGGGGGGTCTCCTTATGTTACCCAGGCTGGTCTTGAACTTTTGGCCTAAAGTGATCCACCTTGACCTCTGCAGAGTTATTTTAGGTGACCCTATTGTATTATCTTTGGTGCCTTATAGGGGATTTATTTTATTTGGTCTGTTGGCAACCAAAAAATGTGTTGAATGGAGTTTTGGAAACAAGAGTTTCCAGGGAAAAAGTATTTTTGGGGAGTGGTTTAATTCTGATAGAGACCGTATAACCTCCGAGTGGATTAGCTTTCAATCAATGCTACAAACTGGAAGATTCTTTTCCCTACCTTCATCTTCATTCTCTAACTTTGTAGGAAATAGTTTGGTTTAAAAGTCAGGACACCTGAGTTTCAGTGTTTGTTTGTTTGTTTGTTTTTGTTTGTTTGTTTGTTTTCGAGACGGAGTCTTGCTCTGTCGCCAGACTGGAGTCCAGTGGCGCAATCTCAGCTCACTGTAACCTCCACCTCCCAGGTTCAAGCAGTTCTCCTGCCTCAGGCTCCCGAGTACCTGAGACTACAGGTGTGCGCCATCACACCCAGCTAATTTTTGTTTTGTATTTTCAGTAGAGACAAGGTTTCACCATGTTAGCCAGGATGGTCTCGATCTCTTGACCTCGTGATCTGCCCGCCTCGGCCTCCCAAAGTGCTGGGATTACAGGCATGAGCCACTGCACCCAGCTGAGTTCTAGTTTTGATTCTTCGTGAACCTTCCCCTGATCTTGGGCAAGTTCTTTAACGTTTTAGGCCACAGTTTTTTTTATCTATTGAACTTTTATCTATTGAATCTGGTTACTATAGAGTTCCTCAGCCTCTGCACTATTGACATTTTGAACCTGATAATTCTCTGTTGTGGGGGCTGTCCTGTGTGCATTGTAGGATGTTTAGCAGTACCTCTGCCCTCTACCCACTAGATGCTAATAGTTGCACCCCACCTCCACCCCCACTTTGTGATGACCAAAAATGTCTCCAGACATTGCCAGCTGTCCACTAATGGGTGGGGATTGGGGAAGCAAAATCATTGCTATTGAGAACTGCTGAGTTATTAGATACACGTAGACCCTTTTAAATACAGCATTCTGGATTTTGTGGAAAGTCTGTGGTTTGGATCTCCATCTTAAATCTCATACTTATGCTTGAAGCCTAATTGTTTGTTCAAACAAGAAATATGAGAACCCATGTATTTTACTTCCCAGACTAAAGGGTCAAATTTATATGGAGAGGAATTATGACTCAATGTAAGGAAGAACTCATGTTAAAATTATATCTTATTTGTTAATTTAGTTTTTCTCAGTAGTACATAAATCTCTGTATAGTGAATTCATAACCTAAACATGTAAAGTGATGCAAGATGTGTCCATGATGTTACGATATTTACAACTAGGCAGATTTATAACTTGGCATAGTTATATCTATTTAGGATATTGGAACATATAAGAAACTTCAGATGTTTAGCCGTTATGATTTAATTTTGTTTCCAGCTGCTCTTATGCTTTATTTCCAAGATGTAGAAGAAATGGATTTAGAATCAGGAAACCAGGGTTTTAGGTCTAGCCATCCTTGGGGACATATGAATTCTTAAAACAGAAAAATTATATAGAACAGACAAGGTTTATTTCTTCTATTTTCTTTTTTACCTCATGGACCTGGTTAAGTGTACATCTGTATTTTAGTTTAGTGCTCCCAGGCTTGAGAAATAGAGTGAAAATGTGTAATGTTTCAGATAATACTTAAACATTGACTGAACATTCTCAACCAGTATTATCGTGAACAAATTTATGAAGTATCCTTCTTAAAATTTCCTTTCTAAAAGTTAAATATATGTTCATTTTGCATTTATATTTGTTAATTAAACTTGGGTTTATAGTGCAACTTGGGCTTATTTGTTAATAGTTACAGTTTAGCCTATTAGCTAACATAACTAAATACTTGGTAGTATAATGAGAAAAATAA